ATGACGACAGATTCGGATAAAGGCAGGCTTGTGACAGTACATGTAATCGCAGCAGTTATTTTATTTATGTTTTAAATCTTTATTGAATCTTGGAAGGTTTGCTAAATAAAGTGGCAGGCAATTTGGTGTAAAAATAAACACTTTTGCAGTATATACTTAAATGTATTTATATGACACGTAATGCAATATTTTGTCTTAACAATACCTCTATCAACTGTTATCTTGACTTGTATCTTGAATTGATAATGATATTCCGTGAAGACATCCTGTATACCGCCCTCTGGTGACAAACAAATGAAATGGATTACGGGAGACACTGACATCTTGAAATATTGGAAATACGAGAAACGTGGTCATTGTCAGTATTAAACTTAAATTTCTACGCACACATAGAAATGGTTCTTCTTCTCTTTTGTGTAATGTAGAAAACGTTTACAATTTCAGAAAAGGGGTGTTGGTGCCAAATTGAAAACTGATCAGCTCCAAGGCAAGTAATTATATTCGATAACGATTTGAAACATATTTGGTTTAGCTATTCAATATAAAATAGTTTGGGGTAAAAGTGTTTTGATGCACAGTTTTAAGCTCCATGATATACGAGGATTCTTGTTGAAAATAGCAAGCATTCTTGTGTTTTTATTTTAAAAACAAACAAGCTGATCCTACGCTCTTTGGCAAAATCAAGTGATCACAAAAACACCGTAATGCGTGATGTTTTTATCAGCTATATGTTAATTTCAGAAATGTATACGCTTCTGTAGAATACTATGAAGAAGGGTAAATGAAACCCTTTTTAGATTTTTTATCAGAATAATTTTATTTTGTTAGACCAATACAGAGACGGTCGTCACTAGGCGAAAGTGGTCGCGCATTTTTTTTTTCGGGAGAGGTAACACCCCCCACCCCGGTGGCGCCGCAGCTCAAATAATTTTATTTATTATTGTATTGTTATTACCCGTTGCCGGCAACATGCATGTAGTTAAAAAAGCAGATAAAGTAAAACTACGGTGG